GGAAACATGAAAATACAGTTTTGGCGTTAACGAATTCAACAATAAAGATGTTAGCACTGTTTTTTTTTTTTAAATGAAGGACAATGGAATGACCTGCTCTAATACTTTACGCTGGAGGGGTATTTGTGAAAAATGATAGGCGAAGATGAAAATAAAATAGTTAGCCCATCGTAATGATCTGGAATTCATCACGATAGTTTCCAGGAGGGAACACGTGGAGGTCGACCTAGCATGGTATATTGCTAGCAATGGGACTAGTAGTTTGCACTACTAGCAATCCCTTTTCCCCTGGTTAGGTTTTTTTTTTGATGGGTGAAAATGGTATGGTAACCCAGCCTGCGTTAACGGTGATAGTAGTATAGGTAGTGAAGGGTGATAGATGGGAATGAAAACAGATCAGTTAGCCCATCATGATGAATTCATCAGGAATTAACCAATCATGGTTAATTCCATCGACCTGCTCGCGTTTCCAGGGAGAACCGCGAGGAGGTCGACCAGGTTGGATATATTACTAGCAATGAGATTCTCAGTCTTTATTACTAACAATCCCTCCCCCCCCCCCCGGTTAGGTTAGGTGAGGATGGGCAGTTATTATTAACCTAGAATTCTAGCTATTGAATGTAAGATACCTTGTGGCATAGCTGTTAATGGCATGAGAAGGTCTTTAAGAGGTCTTAGGTTTTTAATTTAAAAACTAGTTTTTTTTCCCCCAATAAATTAATGTATTTGGGTATCTATTTAAATGGTCTTTTGGCAACAGCTACTCAAACTAGTGAATTATTTAATTAATAAACTAAACACTGATTTCAGTTTTAGCTTAATTAATATTCACCTCTGCCAGCAAGTGCTACCTAAGTAGGAAAGCGTTACAGGTGGCGAACATACATAATACAAAGTCCCTCTGTGTATATCTACCGAATTTATTTTTGAAAATTTAATTAGAATGCAAGAGAATATTTAACCTTTCTTTGCATAATGGTGGAAATTTTCATCATAACATTGAATGCCCAAAAATTATATAAAAGAACAATTTCACTTTAAGTTGATCGTGTCTGGATACCTTTTTAATGTCCATTGCAGAAAAAAAAACATAGCTGTCAAATTTATTTTACCAATAAAAAAAAAAAACATGCAAAGAAGGGTTAAAGAGTTGTATTGCTGACCGTACTTTAGTTTCGTAAGTTGATAACCTCTGCAACTAACCATAGGGACAAAACACTTTCCCTTTCTCTTGTTCGGCCACTATCTCGTTTGCAGCCTGCATTTGGATTATGTATGATTATACCTATCATAGGGAAAGTTGCACGAATTGGGGGCAAGGGATTGCTAGTAATGGGGAATAGAGCGGCCCCATTGCTAGCAATTTACCCTGTTAGGTCGTGCGTGATTCCCCCTGAAAACTATCGTGCTGAATTCCACGTGTATTTATCACGATGGGCTAACTGACCTGCTTTTTTATTATCCACCTGTTATTATCCCTCACTGATGCCCCGCTGGTATATACCGATAGCGCAGGCGGGGTTACCGTTCCATTATCAACTACTAAAGATACCGGGGGATACTATAGATCCCGGGGAAAAGAGATTGTTCGTAAAGGGTTCCAACAGCTCCATTACTGGTAACCATAGTAATTAATTCTTGAATTCGTCACGATGGGCTAACTGACATACGTTCATCCTCACCTATCATCTTTAATTATCGCCCAGTCAGTAGATGCCTATAGCACGGGTGAGGCTACCATTTAATTTTTACCAATAAAAAAAAAATACTTTTACTCCCTGAGAGGTGCCCGGCCCGCCAATATAATCTATTTAAAAAAAAACTTTATCGGTTGCGATAAAAGTTGTAGAAATCGGTTCAAAATTGGCAAAGGTAATCTCGTAAAATAGTCGATAAAAAAATCAAAAAATCAAAACATGCTTTCTTTAGGAAATCTCTTAAAAATCATGCTATTACGTAGTATAGGTTTAAATAATAGTCCAAATGCGTTAAAGCATATAGAAGATAATAAAAATATTCGTTAATTACAACAAAATTAAAAAAATTGGTATCCATTAAACAAGCTTAAAACCCAAATTAAAACAACAAGCTTCACTCAAATCAACATGTTTCAATCGAAACGTTACATCGTCAATGAGGGCCTTAACTTAAAGTGCTATCTGATATCTAATTTTAGTTAAATAAATAGGGATTTTATTCTAAAAATTTTACAGGTTTTAGGTGACGAGTTTCTCTTACAAATGCTCAGGCTATGGGATGTACTACCTATCGACTTTTTCCCCAGAGACTACAGTATGGGATTCTTCAAAAAGAGTGTATTAAGATTTCTTCAGGGTCGGCAACGCACACGTGACACGCCTTTGCTGCAGGCGTGTTACTACAAACAGGCTGTTTTGTCTATGATATAATAATACCAGTTTGCCAAAGATTAAAAGAAGTAGCCAAATGTAATCTGTCAAACTGTAAGGAGTTAAGCACTCCCAGGCGTAGTGTTTTTTTTTTTTTTTTTTAATGGATGATAATGAAATGGTAGCCCCGTCTGCGCTATTGGTATACGCTGGCGGGACACCAGTGAGGGATGATAGATGAGGGTGAAGCAGGTCAGTTAGCCCATCGTAACAAATTCGACAATAAACCAATCACGATGGTTTCCAGGGGGAACCGCGAGGAGGTCGACCTGATAGGGTTTATTACTAGCAATGGGGTTGCTAATCCCCATTACTAACAATCCCTTCCCCCCCCCCCCCAGGCGTAGTGTTTAAAAAAAAATTATGATATATTTGAATGGAGCAAAACCTTTTGTAAATACTACCAAACATAGAATACGATAACAAAGAAAATAGAGTGTCCCTTGTTAAAAAATAATAGACGTGGTATAATTTACTACATACAGATAGACTGGCAACACAAAATGCTTAGGTATTCTGTGCTGGCAATGCAATCACAAAAACGAGACACCAAAAATGATTACACTAGTGAGCGCATTTTGTAAATGTGTGCATGTGACAATTCTAAATTTATATAAAATTGAACGTGTAAAAATAACATAAATGTGTTTCGTGGGCATTCAGACCTTTATTTGAATTTAAATATGTTTTTTCACCAATTCTTGTATACAATATTTCCGATTGTTCTAATATTATTTATTTAAAAAGTTAGATATTTTAAAGCGTAATTAAGCCAAAAATGCGCAATTTTCTGGTTCTTTTTCTCTCTTGTCACTTAATTCTAACTAACTACATTCACTTAAAACTAATTCTAATTCAAGACGTAAAAATAATTAGAATTGTTTATTCTCCCGCCAAATCAGCTTCGAGCTTATATTGTGTAAGTAAGCGACTTTTCATTCGCGCTCCAATATATATGTTATTATGTTTTCTCCCTTTTACGTTGCCAATCTATATTCTTTATAATCTAAGGTGAAAACTGATCAAACTGAAGTATTGGTTATTTAGCAGGTAGACATGTCTTTGTTATATATTGTCTTAATTCATTTAACAACAGACAGAAGTAACAATTACAAACAAAATCCACTCGATTTGACTGTTACAAGTCACAGGAATCCAAAAGCTACCTAGACCTAAACTAAACCTAAACCTAAAACAGTAATCATTAGATTGTACTCATTTTAATAATTAGGTTAGCGTGTCAGGTCAACTTCAATATAAAAATATTATCATATGAAGTATGTACCCAGCCCATGAACATTACTTAGAAAAAAAAAAGCTTATGAAAAAAGTATAACAACTTGACACATCTTTTCTAAAAAATTTTTTTTTGTTTTCTGGCATAAATTAAATCCAGAATTTGATAATTACCTAACAACATGGCGAAACATCAACATTGTTTTTTTTACATATTTTTAATGAAATTACGTGTTAAAAGATCGATAAATAACTGTAGAAATGCTTAGAATATCCTAATTGTGTAGTTTTCATTTAGAAATAATTACATATTTGTGCGTATTTTATGAAATTAGTTGAAATTAATAAAGTACTTTTCTTAATATTTTGAAATATTGTACAATCACTGGATCTAAAGTAAAACGTCTCAGAATGATAACCTATAAATGAATATCTCATATCTAAGAACTTACATTCGTTATGTCTATTAGGTAGTTTTAAATCTACTAATTAAATAGGTAGGTACATACCAAACAATTTTTTTTTTAATTCTGCGGACTGTTATTTCAATAAGAATAAATAAGGTAGAAACACATTTAAATATTGATTACATTATCTAATATACTTACGTACCTACAAAGATAAGTAAAACTACTGTACTAGGTAACTACCTATTTAATTGTTTGAAAATTATATTATATTACATGCACTTAAACATGTGCATCGAAAAAGAATTATGTTAACTAGGTTATAGTGCATTTTCTAGTGCAAGATTAGGCCTACACAGTTTGATGATAGAATTGTAAATCATCGTAAATATTACATAATAAGTGTCTGCTTCTTATTCTTTTAACACATCAATCGATAGAAATATAAACAAGAATAATATTTCGACTAACACAAAACGAATTCGGTTGCTTCATTACAAATCCTCACTCGTGTAGGATGATCATCATAAAGAATAGAACAAGATACCTAGGACATATCGCATAGATTAAAATAGTATTGAAATATACTTTCTATGACTTAGTGCTAAAACATTGTTTTTTGTTTCACTATCTATGGGTATAGGACAAAATAAAAAAGTGTAAATAAAAAAATAAAATCATCTGTTTAACTGTAAAGAACAAAGGTGTTTTAAAAGCACGAGGTTTGTTATGACTTTCGGTCTGTCTAGATATAAAATTCAATATATGGAAACCATATATTAGATTAAAATATCTATCGTATTTCTAGGAAAACTATAGTGATTTCGGCGGTGCACGATTAGGCCTACACCGAATGCGGCAGAAACGCTGGCCGCGCACTCAAATAGTTTTATAACGAATGTTTAGGCTATTAGGGTTAATGTAAATAGTAAAAAACAATGTAATTTACCTTATTTCCAGCATTCAATCCACATACACCAGGTAAATCCAAATCATAGGTCACAATTTTACACAGAATTTTGACCGAAACACTAACACTGGCTGGTATAATCAGTGATGTACCCAGGTGCAATTACGATTCAAATATCTATTACCAATTCTGTTAATCACACAGTACACAACCAAAAATGCACATCACTTTAAAAAATTAAGCGATTTTTATTTCCATGGTCTTTTAGTGCCACCTTTCAGTTTGAATCTCTAGATAGAGATTTTAATCCAGTTGAGTATATAACAATTATGATGTAATTTCTCATAGGAAAATAAAGAAATATCTAGCTGAACAGTAACATTCCAAGCTTCGTATTCCACATCGGCTTGTATTCCCAAAACAGCTGTTTCCGTGTAGTGACGTGAAAAATCGATAACAACCAAACCAGGATAAACGTAATTACACACCACATAACTTTTCATAACACAAATTTTCGATTTCACTATCCTATAAAATGCATCTTCATTGCATTAGTGCTAATAAAATACAATATCATCGGTAAATAACTGTAATTCAGAAAGGAATAACTATTAATACGTGTGATAAGTCACATTTTAATTGGAACTGCATGTATTTAGCGGTCACTAACACTATTTTGTTTATGAATTGAATTCTTTTGTAAGCACATTCTGAATATCAAGAGCATACGCACGCGGTCGCGCTCTGTCGCGGACTGGCGGTGACGGCGAGGGGCGCGCGGGCAGGGCGGGGGGCGGGGCGCGGGCGGGCCCGTCGAGCGCGGAATGCTATTGTGGGCGAACTTACCCGCCACTTTTTTTCTCAATTCTGGTCAAACAAGTTTTGTATACAACCCGCATTGTAAGGATTCCGCCATTCTTCGAATGAACGCAGCAAAGGTCTTTCTAAAGTTAGAAATATGAGGTTTCACTGAAGTACTGTTATTTTTAGTTTAAGAATAATAGCTATACTTGAATACAAGTTGTTTAAACACTGCCAAACAACCTTCAAAATACTTGATTTATAAACAGTATTTAGAAATAACCAAACTGATGCATAACATATAATAAGTGAAATGCCTATTTATATAATATTGATCAAATACCACCTATCATGTCTATTGAACATTAAGCATTTGAAATAAAAAAAAAATAGTAATCAAATTGTTTAAAACAAAGTAATTAATAATTTAGGTTTTTTTTTATGTTTGATGATGGAATAGTAACCCTGCCTGCGCTATCGGTATACACTGGCAGGACACCAGTGAGTGATGATAGGTTAGGAAGAAAAGACAAGACAGATCAGTTAGCCCATCGTGATGAATACACTTGGAATTCAGCACGATGGTTACCAGGGGACCACGTGGAGGTCGACCCGGTTGGGTATATTGCTAGCAATAAGACCTTTAGTCTCCATTAGTAACAATCCCTTCCCCCAATAACTTAGGTATTAGATTAATATAACTAGTACACATGATATTCCAACAAAACAAATAAATATTTATTGCTAAAAAAACATAATTACAAAAGAAAATACGAAAATATAATATATACAAGAAGTGTCTCATATTAGGTAAAAAGAATTGGCTCAGCTGATATTGTGAGTCTCCCAGTGTTAAATGTTGTTTTAGTATTACAAAATATTTTTTTTTTATACAACTTAGAATAGCAAACAAGCTAACGACCCACCTGATGGAAAGTGGTAACCGTCGCCTATAGACATGAGCAGTACCATGGACATAACAGAGTATACTGTTTCGCCCATGATACCCCCCATGCGTTGCCATTCCTGAGGACTCAGGTGTTATTCCTCTGTACCCTGTAAATTCACGCCATATCCCATCCATCAAATCGAAACACAAATGGGACAGAGGTACCAAAGCAATCGACTTTTGTACAAAGTCTCCCTCTAGTTAATTTACCAGTATTATGATTAATCACACATGTTTTGATAAATCAAAACATGTAGATAACTCGAAGGTTGACTGTAAGAGATCCCTTATAATGGGTTAAGTCGATTATATAGTATACTCGATTATGAATTGTTTGCAACAAAGTTTTCAGGTTAAAAATAACCGATAAATTATCGATAATTATCAAACATGGTCCCAGCACTAGACTAGGCAATCAATCGAGGCTTATTATTAATATGTATTTTATTTTAAAATGCTTCCATTTCCATTCATTTTTATTTTGCTTTACTTATTGAATTAGAAATTGTTCTGAAATGAACCCTGATTGAACGTAATGCTTAAATCTACCAATAAGACAACTTAGTTTTTTTATAGCATAGGGAGTAAACGAGCATGTAGTTCACCTGATTGTAAGTGATTACCGCCGTCAATAAGCACCTGCAACATTAGAGAAATTACAGATGTTGCAGGTTTTTTAAAAAGAAGTATACCAATTACTCTAGTCTCTAGCTAGATTTGCAGGACTAACTCATAAAATAAGATTAGTACTGCTTTAAGCTCTGACAAATTGATAAAGACACTACATCCATAGACAAAATTATAATTTTTATTTGGAATAAATTCCATAATTAAAATAATCCATTTAGTCGTACCACCTAAAAATAAAGCGCATATCTTAACAGTGGATCCAGTTAGTTCTTCGGCGCAACCTGAGTGGAATTCCAACATTCAAGGTTAGAAGGGAACTTCTAAAGTATTCGAAGCGATAAACGAACTTCCATGAGGTCGGATAGACTCGGCTCGAGAGGGACGATTGCATTCCAATCACCAAGTCAAAAAGAGATGCCACGATATATTTTATTTATTGCCATATCAAGTTACACGCGGGTTGTGTATCACGTGTGTATGAGTGGGATGAATATAGTCACACCGTTCCCATTGACCCTGTCAGAATCAAAAGAGATGTTTGATGATGATTTTTTAGTAAATTGACCGTTTTAATTAGTTTCGATTGAATTGGTAATGTTTCATTGACAAAGAGGGGTTAAATTTTCTATCGGACTGACAAACTTATCTTTTAAATAGTATATGTTATTATTTTTTTAATACTTGGTAGTTATTTGCCTTATATTTTTCATTTAATTTTTTAAGTCAATGACAAGACCTCATAAACTCGAGTCTTTGATAGTTTTTTTTTTTATAATTGAAGAACAAAATTTTGATAGTTTTATATTAACCAGATTTTGTATGGTTTGTTGTGAAGATAAAGAAAGGATAAATTAATAATTACAACATCTGAAATCTAGGGTACCACTTCACCCAATATTGTTTTAGACGCCAATCCCATTATGATAACTGATGGATACGTGATCACCATCGCCTTTATTTCGTCAATTCATGACTGACAGCAAAATTAACGCCATAATCTATCATCTAATAAGTGGCACAGCATTTTTAACTAGCCAGACACGAGTTTAATTCTCGTGATAAATATTCTTGTACAGTACACTAAAGTTTGAAAGAGATCGCTATCTAAAGTTAATATCGCTCATCGTTGTGTCTTTGGTTTAGTTTTTTTTTTTTTTAATTAAAAATATATCTCTACAATAGGGAAGCTAACGCTCTATGAAAGTGGCGCCATCATGATAACAACGTAAACTAAAACGACAATGAAATAGTGATTGAGAGTTTATTGATAAAGAGTGACTTTAAGAAATCCATAACGGGGAGAAAATAAAGTTTTTAATAATCAATTTTTCTATTTACCACTACAGATTGAAACAGAGATATAGAGTAAAAGAGAGATAGAGTTTGTTTTTGTTATGTATGATGCATAATACAAGCGCCCTCATTGAGATAAATTAGGAATATCAAAGCTTCCCTATTATTTCTTATAGAAACTAACACTAACACAAAAACTAACACAACATATATGCTGGCAAATTTAGTTTAATTATATATCCAGGGGCATGGTTTTATAATTAAACGCAAATTTCTTCGAATTCTAGACAAAAAAAAAATTACGAAACAAAGAATCAAAACTCATATTTAATAACCTTAGCTAAGTATTTACTAATCGCAGTTACGGCGACAAATATAAAAATATCAAAATTAGGACCTATCTGCAAATTAGCATTCAATAACCTAGAGAGAAATTATCAACGAAATTCTCAGAATATTGTGTTTTTAATTTGTTTATCATCATTTTATCCGTAAACTATCTATTGCTGGACATAAGCCTTCACCCTTCAGGGGAGTTGTTTATTAATATTATAACATTTGTTTATATTAATATACAAATTAATATGGAAATCTAATATCTAATTGGATTATGCAAAATAGTTACATTAAATAAGTAGCTGTATGTCTCATTCATGTCTTATTATTTTGACAAAGCAGAATGTCTTCTGAAATTACTTCTTAAACATCAACATGACTTAAATGTATCAACATAATAAAATTCAACAATATTATAACATGCTTGTGTCTAAAATATCGATATTGATAGATATCATAAAAACCTAGTTACGTTTTCTAAATACGATCAACTGGTTACATAGATTTTATACAAACTTTTTTTGACAGAAGTGACGTGAGTCTAAATACTGGACATAGAGCAGATAATATGACATGTAGATAATAAAGTTTTATCTTAGGTGGGCAAGTAAAAACATAAAAACTCTAATGAACTTCGATAATGTTTAATTCCAAATGAATAAGGAACCTCGAAAGTGATGCTCGGCATACTAAATTAGCAAAATTACAAAATTAGACGATTAATTCGCATAAATGGAGAGATATTGTTTAGTTTATACTTATCCTATGTTATTGAATGTCTCACTAAGCACTAGTTGAAATGCATATTGTCATTCATAACATTAAATCGAGAAGACATTTTAGAATTTCGGTAAATTAAAAAGGACTCTTTATAACTCAGACTGTCACAATCATGTTGTGTGACAAGTAATTCTACTGTTTAACCTGCGGTTTAACGTCGATTCGGCCCAGACAACCGGTTATTTTAGTTCCAAAGAACTGCTTGTCAACAGGTTGTACTGAGAATTCGTAGCTGGATGGTCGCTAGGCAATGTGACGCGGGCAAACGTAAATAAACTGGCCAGTTCCTTAAAACTTCAGAGAGACATAATTAGGCTTAAACCTGGGATTTTCTTAGTATTGTTTTATACTCTATTCTGTACTCTAATACGGTCAATATTACTTTCACGCGACTTCCAAGACATGGAATATATTTTTAACTTTGCCAATTTTGATAATTCTTTTCATAATTAAAAAAAGTTTAGTTCCACGTCGACTCATATTAATGTTGTGACGACCGAAGCTAAATACATGTCGATATCAAATACACTGTATGCCCTCGAGAGGATGACTACAGCTCAATAGAAAATGATACGCAATTATTAATGCTAAGAAATTATTTAATTATATCTTATATTAATAGAAATTTATTCGTACTGTAGATGCAAAATATGGAACTTTTAATTCTTCTTTTTTTTATACAACTTACAATGGCAAACAAGCTGACGGCCCACCTGATGGTAAATGGCAACCGTCGCCTATAGACATGAGCAGTACCATGGACATAACAGAGTATACTGTTTCGCCCATGATACCCCCCATGCGCTGCCATTCCTGAGGACTCAGGTGTTATTCCTCTGTACCCAGTAAATTCACGCCATATCCCACCCTTCAAACCGAAACACAGCCACAATTGCTTCACAATTCATTGACAAATTTCTCGCTTTCCCTCTTCCTTCTGGACAAATAACTAAATAATTAAAATAA